CTGGACAAGGCTTACTTGGAGGTGGAATAAACATTTTATGGATCCATCCTCACGTCGGACCTCCAAACCGGAGCTTTAATAATCCGTACGCCGCTTTTTTTTTTTTTTTGGTCCTCACTTTCATAGCCACAACATTCCACTTTTAACTCGGTGCGCCTCAAATTGTTTTGTCTTTCTTCAAACTACATTTAGCATTCCTCATTTAGTCCGAGAAACAGAGAAAAGCAATTTCACGTCCATTAGTTATTAGTCACAGCGCTCGCCTCCCATCCTTCACTGCTCTGTCATATCAATTTCACGGAGCCAAATAATAAACATGAATGTCGAGCTAAAACGCAAGACATTAAAAGCACAAATAACCCCCAAACTGATGCTGCCAAGAGACATTGATATCTCCCATCCTCCTCGACGCCGACATAATGAAGCTCGATTCTCGTATGCTTTTAAAGCGGGGCTTGTGTGTCGGGCTGAAGCAATCAATTGAATTGAAATTAACATCGCAGTGCAGTAGAAGGCAATGTAATTTTTGAAATGGCACTCATAAAATATTCCATGACTTAGCACCTTCCCAACTGGTTACTTTTGTGGGACCTTATGTTCTGTCCCAAAAACTTCATTCACAATTCGCATTGTTTGCCTTTGAAGGTCCCCTAGAAAAGGCCCAAAATGACCACTTTAAACCAAAATGGGGCACATCCCCGTTCTATGTGATGCTTTGTGTGTTCAAATATGACTATTGAGCCAAATGCGCATAATAAAAAAAAAAATCTTTTAGTTTTGCAACATTTTTTATTATTCTTTTTAAATCAAAGTAGTTTGTCCAACAAGAGGAAGCCGCTGTGATTTTGAGCGTCAGAGGATTCACAATGACTTTGCATGGCAGGAGGTATGGAACATGCGGCAACAGCAAAAGTGGATCATGCATGTGTGCACTTGAGCGCATGTCATCTTCAGAAGGGGGATTGTGACCATGTACAATAGAGGTCATTTCTTCAACGAATGAACCAAAGCAGAGTACAGCAATCATCTCTCACAGGAATATAGTTAAACGTGATGTACATACAGTGTGTGTGTGTGTGTGTGTGTGTGTGTGTGTGTGTGTGTGTGTGTGTGTGTGTGTGTCAAATATATTACCGCATTTGGTTATTTTTCTCGAAAATACAGATTATTATTTTTTTTTAACTGTGCTGTGCAGGTTCGAGGTCAAATTCATTGTTGAGAAAGTTAGGAAATTATTTCTTTCTGTTGATATACCTGACAAATTTGAACACAGCTGTGTAAATATTTTACTGCACATCCAAGGAATGTTATTTGACATGATTTAGCATTTGTCTAAAGGACTGAAATGAAAATTTTCCCCTCCCATCAGTCCTCTCTGGGTGTTGACAAGACACTTTATTAGGTACAGTTGCAACCCAAGCACTCAATCAAATATTGCGCCTCTACGAAGATAACAGTGCTCACTTTTTGAGTGACTGTGCCAGACAGTTATCCGGTAAACAATGTGATCATTATTGGGTGAGAGCTAACAGGGCTCCTGCTCGAGAGAGTGTAAAAGCCTGTAGCTCCTAATCGCATCAGCCTAATTATGGCACGCATTTCCATAATTAGGCGCATTTCATCCGTACTACGACTGCAATTGCCGATTTCTATCATGTGTCAAGTGCGCCGCTCGGCCCAAGGTCAAACCTGCTTTCCCTTTGGATTACTTCCAATAGGGTGCATGCAGATCAACTGGATGAGAGGCGGTCAGGGGCATCATTCAGGATGAACTCTCACATATACTCCTGAAACGCTCTCATGCAAAAAAGTTTTTTTTTTCTTCTTTTCACTCGTAAAACGCTCTCCAATAAACAACTGATTTGGTTTTCACTTACCGAGAGTATAGCAAGTCGCTCTCACACATAGATATTTTTCCCCCTCACTTACAATCGTGAAATGCTCTCACACATGCTAAATTGCTGACTTTTTTCCGCTCACATTCACTCGCAAAACTGTCTGAAACGCTCACGTACACCCAACTGTTATTTTATTCCTCACACGCACTAGCGAAACATTCTCACATACTCCCATACGCCCTACCGAATGCTCTCACGCACAAATTCTCTTCTTCATGCACTAGTGAAAGGCCCACACATGCTACTGAAAGGTTCTTATACATGCAAATGAAATACTTTACACAAAATATGTTGAGGCTCACAACGCAAAACATTTTAATACTAACTACTAAAATGTTCTTATACACCCAACTGATTGTTTTTAATTCACATTCACGAGTAAACCACTCTCATGTGGGATTGAAATACTGTTATACACAACCAATATACGGGTGAAACACTTGTGCTCTCATACACTCCCGGAATGCTCTCACGTAGAACTAAACCTTTTTTTTTCTACTTTTATAAAACACTGTTCCAACTGAAATGCGCTCAAACACATAACTGATTATTTTCACTCACCCACACTAGTGAAACCCTCTCACCCTCTATGAAACCCTCTCACACAAACAATTTTTTTTATTATTATTATTATTATGTTATTTCTTTTTTTTTTGCTAATGTAAACTATTAACGCTCTCTGGATTATTGTAATGCACTTCACACAGTCAGCCAGTCCTCCTTCAAACATTTTCAATTGGCTCAAAATTGCACTTGGCAAAATTCCCATATCAGAGGAAAACCACAATGACCGTAAAAACAAGTCATTGTGGCCATAGCAAGCAAACAGATATAAATCGACCTTATTTTTGACCGGAGCCATGGAAATTTAAATCAGTCATGTGCAAAATGGCCAAAAATGGAGGCCCACCCAAGTTTTCAGCAGTTCATAGACGTAGTGTCCATTTTTACCCGAGCAAAGTCAAGTGAATGCAGTTGGGCCTCCAAAGCGATTCGTCTTCTATTCCTCTCACTGGGTCATGCGGCCGTGGAAGGCAGATAAGTATTTTCTTATCAGCAAAGCAATTACATTTTCCCCAAAAGCTCACGGTCCTCTTTAAACACGAGGAGCACACGGAGGGGTGGGGAGGGGGGTGGACAAGTGCACTGATAATGCATCAGGAACGCTGCGGCTACACCCAAGTCCACACGTGGAAGGAATTTGGAAGAAAAAAAAGCTTTGGTTTGAGCAAGGAAATGACAGAGAATCAAGCGATCACGCTCACTTCAAAAGGTTGTACAGTATTATTACAAGCATAAAGTTGTCATCTTGATAGATTGCGGCATTGTTGTTTCGGACAGGAATGCCGCGCGACTACCGGTAGATTCCCGCAAAAATTGTTCATTCACATGACCACTTCAAGTGTCTTTGTTCCTCTTGTCAGATGAAAGACTCTATTTCATAAAATTGATTGTCCGACATTATTTTTTTGTAATATGAAGACTTTATTCTGTGTATACTTTGACTTTTTTTTTTTATTGTGAAAAAACTTTATTCTTGTCAAGCTCTATATTTACTTCATGAAATTTATTTTTCTTATTCAGTATTGAAGCTTTATTTTTTTCTCTATTTTTTTTTAAGTATTAAAAAAGTAAAGTATTTTCTTTTTGGGAAAATAGCCTCTTTATATGCATGAAATCATTTCTTCTTTTTCACTTTAATATTATCTCTTGCTTCTTTTCATTTTCACTTTATTCTCATCATATTAAACACTTTATTCTGCTGCGATATTGGGCTGCAATGTACCAGCCTGGACAGCACGATAGCGGATGTATGCCGTTTCTGTATTTTTATTTTATTTTTCTCGAACTTGTTTGAAATTGACCTTCACTGCTATCTTCCCCCCATCCCCCTCTCTAATCTTGCACGCATACATGACCTTTCTTGGCATCCTCTCCTTAAAATATGACCAACATCTGACCATGCTGGGATTATCCTCATGGCCCACTTTCTCCAGCCAACGCTCAATCCAAACTAATACGAAGCTTGTGTGCATGCGTGTGCGTGTTCACCGGTGTGAATGAGCAAAAGAAAAAAAACATACGTTCTCTCCTAAAAATCAGTTTAACCCTTTCATGCACCAATAATGATAACCTGTCACCTGAGAACATAAACTGTCCACTGTAGTAACCGCTGTCCCCGAAAGAGTTAATCTCCTCAATGTTGATTCATATTCAGTGCAGAAGATTGTGTTCCACTCTTTGCTGTGAGCAGACTCCGAAACCCTTAACCCAGACGGCTTGTTTTAAATAATTGAACCGTATTTTGAATTTTTGATGAGCACAACCGACTCGGTCTTCACTCTTAAATGGCGCCCGAGAAAGTAGGCCAAACACACACTGCAGTAAAGCATGCAGGTGATCCAGCTAGTATGATTTTCCCAACCTTTCGTGAGCCAAGGCATATAGTTTACATGATCTAAAATTATTTTACATTGCATAAAATTAATTGTAGTTGATGACAACTAACAAACTAAGTGGTACTTGGTGTACAAATCTAGGCCCATTGCACAGTTAGGTTGCTCGAACGTCAACAGGTGATTGCACGAGTTAAATGTACTTTCTGCTGCCTACCGGAAGAACCTTTTAGGTCTCGTCGTCACTATACGTCACTGTCATATCTTGAGACCAATTCACCTCATGGCATAGTGGTTGGGAATCGCAGACTAACTTTTCAGTAGGGCATGGTCAAAAATATTGGGACACCATGATGAGCCCACTCCTGTTGCGACAGACAAATGACGAAGACGCGTTTGTCACGGGTCACTGCATCGTTTTTATTGGGATCGTTTTGAACCGAGGGAGGAGGAGGAGGACGAGGGCAGGGATGCACACGGTTTCATTACAGGTATGGCTACAGTACGCTATCGACTAACAACATCACAACAGCTCATAGAAAGCACTCCACTACAGAGCAGATGCTGCAAAATGAAAAGCTGCCATCAGAGTAACTCTAAAAATGAACACATGGGGAATTAACAAATTCGGGCAATAAACACAGCCTGCATTTTTCTTATTCCCTTTTTAAAAAAAATTTTTTTTTGATTTTTTTTTTCCGTTTTATTTTTTTGCATGAACTGCTCACTGTGTGTGTACTGTATTTCCACACACATTTTCCTTAACTATCACCCGTCTCCAGTTAGTTTCCAGTATCTAACTGAGACAAATAAACACCTCCCTTTTCTTTGTCAGGTAAAAGCAACACACAGAATTCGTCTAAATTTCGCTCAAATAAACATCTCTATTTTCCAATGAATGGCTTTTGACTGGCAGCTATTGCAATATCCAAAATAATGACACGACTTAAACTACTACAAACATTGGCAATGATTGTAATACAAAAAAAAAATGCATTTTTATGTACACTTTAGAGTCCATATAGTGACCGTTTCAATTTCGATGCAGAAATGAAAGATGCTGAGAAGATTAAAAACTCCTCAATGTCATGTTTTAGATTGAATAAATTAATTAACAACATCAGAGAGCACACTTTGTCCACACTTTTTGGGGCCTGGGGGAAGTGGGTGGGTGCGGGCGGGGGTTCATGCCTGAGGTTCACAGCAGAGGCAGTCGAGGGCATGGCTCATCAATGAATATACACGCTTGGCAGAAATTAGCTCGACCCTTTGTGAATTTACTTTTTTTTCTTCCTGGCCCTGGCAAATAATCTGTGTCAATAACAAAGAAAGTGGATTGAAACACAGGATTGGACAGTGATGGAAGTTAAAAAAAAAAAAAAGGTTTTAAGCAGTAGAAGATAGGAAAATATATCAAGGATCTGAGGAATTAGATTATTAAGGAAGGCTGGTTTAGGCGAAGGAAAGAAGCAAGGATGCATGAATAAAAAAAACAAGTGTGATGGAAGGAAGGCAGACGTGAAAAAAGTAAGGATGAATGAATTAAAAAACGGGTCTAAGAGGAAAGAAGGCTGAATTAAGTTTCAGCAAAGGAAGGAAGGATGAAACAATAAGTAGGCAACATTGCCAGGAATAACACTGTAGATGTAATGCAATAAGGGGAAGAAAATGAAGAAAGTAAAGGGGTATATAGTGGTGCCTTGAAATACTGATTTGTATGTACAGTATATGACAAAGAATAGACGACATCTACTCCTCAGTAAGATGCTGTAATATTGTTTTTTGGAGAGGAGAAAGAATATATACCTGTTGAGTATTGTTGTATTATGTGTCAGTGTTGCTCGACTGTTTGTATTCAAATACGCGCTGCTTCTGAAACAACAGCGCTCACTGCTAACCGTTAGCATGTTAATGGTGTTTTCCATTGTTTGTTAGCATTAGGCTAGGCAGAAAAGTGGACTGTACTTCTCTGTTTTGCATTTTAGTGAGACAGTAAATTTGAACTGTTAAGTGGCATTAAACAGCTTGAAGCCTTTTTACTTTTGGCCCATCCAATACTGTGTGTGTGTGTGTGTGTTTATAAATAAATAAACTACTGTACGAATAGTAAACAGTACTAGAGGAGACAGCAGATTGCGAATTAGGTGATTAAGCCGCATAAAACTATCCACACACTACTGTAAACAATAAATGGAATGAAACTCAATAAATAATACATTAGCGGGATGGTGTTGGTATTATAACACAACAATGATAAAAAAAAAAATTAAAAAAAATGCCTCTCAGTAAGAGTGAACAGACAAATCCAAATGTGACTTGTAACCGTGATGTCTGCATGCACTCTAAAGGCCCTACTGGCGTGTGATACACTCGGATGTAGACATGGCGCGTGTGCGCCTAGTGCGATTCAGCCGGCTCAGTGGACGTCGGCGCCGCCATGCGGGGGCTTGGCGTCGTGCGGCTGCCCCGCAGCCCCGCCGGGCAGCCAGGGGGAGACGGAGTGCGAGGTGGTCTGCTTGGCCATGCTGTAGTGGCTGATCACCGTGTAGAAGCGCCCCCTGGAGTTGGCGTCCTGCGCGGCGTAGTAGGCCTCCAGCGAGGCCGGGATGCAGCGCTTGTGCTGAAAACAACACAAAATGGCTGCTTAGGTTCAAAACATATCACGCTTGGTTTATCGGGAACTCCCATTACAGCGGAAATGGGGCATCAGCCACTCCAGTGAACAGGTTTTTGCATGCAGTTTTCTTCAAGTACGCATTAGTCTTGTTGTCAAAGGTGAAATCACTTCATTACAAACATTCTTTCTTTTACAGTATATACATTAGAGCCCTGTTATGGATTTTTTTTTTGTCAGGATGATGCTAATTCCGATATTTGGCAGGATCAAATTTTCCATAACCGATTAATCGGACGATTACAAAAATAAAGATATGAATGACAGGCAGAATGTTTGACTGTTTTACAATACTTTGTCTTTTACTATTTAACTAAATTGGTCACGACAACATCAAATCTGGCCATGTTTTTCTTCTCTTTCTGTCCACTATACCGTAGTGACTGATAAACAACTTTGACCTCAAAACTGTGAATAACATCTCACAAAAAGGTGACATGATTTATGCATGTGGACGACATACGTATTGACTGATGCAAAACTTTTCACGGCTTGCGTACATAAAAGAATGCAGCGTTTGATTCGCTCACCACTATCATGCACTACAATGCACAATGTGGAACGGGAAAGCCATATTTTATTCGATTGCGACATCGTCCTAAGACCTGCGTTTTTGAATATACAATGAAGTTGATCATTTATGTTGCGTGATTCAAAATTTTCACTATTATGTGCCGATTATGCAAAGCTACATTGGCGAGACACTTGAGCATTGTGTATCTCCCGAGTGGGTGCATACTCCTTTTGTTCAGATAATGATAGCAGAGCAACGTGCACTCGAGAGTCCCCGGAGAAGCTCTGAAATAGATTTTAGATTCTACCTTTCCGAGGCTTTGACGGTCAAGGTGACACAAAGACTGTGCACAACACAATTTGGGGAACAACAAGTGCGAAGCAGAGGAGAATGCTAATGCTCAGCAATTTTCTTTAGGGGCATAATCTATAACTTCTATCGCCAAGTTATTTAAGGAAAGGTTGCAACCATGAACAGTGCGATGAATCATGTTTTGGAGCAACAAAATGGAGTGCCTGCAAATAGCAGAGGTCATGTTGGAAAAAAGAAGTTTGTCCAAGTATTGTTGCCGTAAACATTCCGGATGCAGATTTAGGATTGCATTAGAATCGCATGTAAACAGGAGCTCAGAACAGTAGTGTGAATGTATCCAAGTTAGCTATTGAGTTGAACCATACTGTTGCTGAGTTAGACGTGACCAAGACACCACGACTTTGACACGTATCACATTTTTATGAGTTGACTCAATCTCGTTGACTGAACATGAATTTACCCTAGACAAGTTAGCACAGGCTCATTCAAGGTAGTTAGCATGAGTTTATCCTTGTTTACAAAGCTTGGATATGAATTTACCCAAGCTAGCTGTGTTAGCATGAGATTCCCACAGCTAGCCAGGTTAGCACAAGAGGGCAGGGGTACACAGAGACTTTATAATATTGGGATACATGCATCATTAGGATTGCATTAGAATCGCATGTAAACAGGAGCTCCGAACAGAATTGTAAATGGATCCAAGTTAGCAATTGAGTTACTGTGGCGGAGTTAGAAGTGACCAAGACGACACGAATTTGACACTAATCACATTTTTATGAGTTGACTCAATCTTGTTGACTGAACATGAATTTACCCAAGATAGACAAGTTAGCACGGGCTCATTCAATGTAGTTAGCATGAGTTTATCCATGTTTACAAAGCTCAAATATGAATGTACCCGAGCTAGCTGTGTTAACATGAGATTGCCACAGTTAGCCAGGTTAGCACAAGAGGGCAGGGGTACACAGCGACTTTATAATATTGGGATACATGCATCATATGGCGGCGCGGGCACCCGCAGCGGCTCCTCTTGTTGTCTGTTTAAGAGGGAGGAAATTTCATCTGTGCTGTATACAGCACATTTGACAATAAAGTTGTACTTGATACTTGACATGGCGCATGTGCTAAATTCCTGCTAACTTGATAGCTTTGATAAATGTATGCAGTAAAATGGTTTGGGTAAAAATTAGGGATATTCTTTTTCTTTCGACGGATTTGTTGTACCTTATATAGGAATCCATCTGGGCAGGCGTGGTCATAGGTGAAGGCTTTGTAAACCACCAGGAACACGATGCAGGCCAGGAAGGCCAAGGCCAGGATGATCAGGATGGTGACCTGCAAGGGCCGCAAAAACCACTCAGGACAGTCAGTGTTTTGTATTTGTGTCTTATTTCAACTCAAAATTGTGGACGGATGTGTGGGTATTTTATTGGTATGTTACTTCAACTGATTGCATTGTTGCATGATGATGACATTTGCACTTTCAAAAATACTTTATTACAACATTCAGCGTGTATTTTGGGGGGAATATTAAAATAGATTTTTTTTCCCCCCTAAATATGATCCCCTCATTTCTGGTGCATGGCAGTCCATTTGAATGTAGTGCTGAAGTTCTTTACCATTTTCTGCTGGACGTTCAGTATAATAATAATAAAAGTGTAAGTCGGCATATTAATGCAAATAAATGCATCTGTGTGCATTATTCTCTTTTTTTTTTTTTTTTACATTGTGCATTATTCATTTGTCTGGCAGCCTATACATGCTGCTAATAGAGAAGATTAACATAAAAAAGGATTTGCCTTCAACTTGACACTTTGATTGGACACCTGTGAAATAGCATTTAATTTGAATTATGCAAATGAGGTGTGGAAGGATATCTATGTTTAAAAAAACAGTGTCTGCCAACTTCTGACAGCTGTGTGTGTGTGTGTGTGTGTGTGTGTGTGTGTGTGTGTGTGTTATGCGTACGTGTCATCACACCCGTGTGCGCACATCTGTCTTGGAAATAAATAAACAAAAATTGCCCTTCCATTCAATTGTAATTTCCTGCCTCCCACGCTCCGTTTTTTTGGACGTTCCGATTGGCCGATCCGCTCCATCGGCTCCGGCAAACATGTCAAAACAATTAGGCACGCGAGTGATGCTCGGAGTCCATCAGCGTTATTCCGCCTGACGCTCCTCTTGTTTTATGTTGAGAGGGAAGAAATTTCATCTGTGCTGTACAGCACATTTGACAATAAAGTTGTATTCAATTCAATTCAATTATTCCGCCTGATGTACGCACGCCATCCGAGCCAGAGTTTAACTGCAGCATTTATTCATGGAGCGTCAGCAAATTTTGGGAGACTTTAGCTCAGTTTGCATCGAAAGGCCTCTGCTCAGGTGCCGCCTATACACACACACACACACACACACACACACACACACACACACACACACACACACACACACACACACACACACACACTACCCACGAACGTTTATTAGGTGTTATAATACAATATGAACAGTAGCTCATTAAATGGTGAAATTGTACTGAATTACAAATGAACAAAAATTGTGCTGAATGGTGGCACGTTGGGCGACTGCTTAGCACACCTGCCTCACAGTACAGAGGTCGCGGGTTTGAAAACCTTGTTTCCATTTATTCCACCGGTCTTTAAGTATATCGTATTAGCTTTTAATCACGCAGTGGTGAACTTATCTTTACACTTGTTTGCCATGTTAATCGCGTAAAAAAAAAAAAATAAAAATAAACGGCACTTAAAACTTTATCTGTGCAGTGAATAAACGATGGTGACATTTTGCGCGTGGCACAAAAATGAATTTACATGGTTGCCCATAGCGAAACATGGGTTCATAATCATTTTGATGAGTCATTATCCCCTTTCACCGCATCTCCCGCCGCCATCGTTTCCATGAGTTTCCTTGCTTTTGTGTCATTAGCGATTCTCAGCGTGCCACCTTGTAGCATTATCACTCCCGAGGCGGCCATCTTCCTGTCGCTCCTGATAACAGACGAGCACGAAGGGGTATGCGACCAAGAACCCTAACCAGAGTCGACAGCGGCAATAAGGAGCGCCGGGTGCGTGACACTCGATGTGCCTGTCGGGTGGGTGGCGATGGGGAGAAATGTGTTGCATTAAAAAAAAAAAAAAAAGCGTGACATTATAAAGGGAGCTCATTCTTCACTCTTTATGTGATGGAGAGGAGAACTATCAAAACACAGCTACAGGCACAAATATATCACACGAATGTTGTTTTGGCAGGCAAAGAGTACATCCTCAAACATCTCTTTTTTTAAAGTTTTTTTTCTTTCTTTTTTTAATTTTTTTTTTTTTTGGGGTGCACGTGTGCTTTTATTTGTGGGATTTACTGGAGTATGACTGCCGAAGCCAGATTTTTAAATATTCGCAATCCATATAAAATCTTTTTGCTTTATTTTACATGGTACATGTATTTTTTTTAATTGCTTTCCATCCCTCCTCTGTGCTCTGCTGTCTGTCAGCCTGAAGCCCACCACACGCGCTCTCTCTCTCTCCTTGGAACTGACAGGCTGCGTAGGGGGTCTAACTCATACCCCCACCACCACCACCATCCCACCACTCCCCCCCCACACACACTTTAGTGGGAGGGAAAGCGTAAGGGAGAGAAATGATGATTAAAAACAGCGTGCAGACACAAGATGGAACTATCCAGTCCATCCTAATAAAGGCGAATAAAGTTGTAACGTGAAAATATCGTCATTTGAGAAAATATTGCAAATTATGTTCATAAATGTTGGATATTTAAAAATACTGTATTGTGCAGAATTTAGATTTTTACATTTGTAACACAAGTTATGTAAAAATTCCAAGTTAAGTTATGAGAAGATCAATGAAGCCCCTATATATAGTTATCTCGGAATGATACAGCTCCGTTCTCCACCTGCAAACAACCACAGTAACACACACATTGTGAAATTACCCTACGCATTTTCATTTTTGAAAAAGCAGACTATTTAAGGCATTAAGCTCCTTTAGTGTTGTACCTAATGAGGTACAGTTTGAGATTCAAGCTGAAGAGAACCAACCCTCCCATCCCAAAAGTGACATACTGTTTCTAGCCAGAAGCAAAAATACAAGGCCATTACTGTTGTATTGTAAGTGTTTTGGGTTTTTTTTCCCTTGTTGATTTTCCTCTCGGATTTTAATCGTACTCATCACGAGCGTTGTTGTTTTATTTTCCCAAAAGCAATTTACTTTAGCTTTGCTCTTGGAAGTGGACAATGAGATGAGCGCGTACATGAGTGGGGTCTCCTGAGGATGAGGTTGACTTGGCGACGGTAGTGCGGCAACTAAATCACGCGAGCTGATAGGCTGACAGCGTAAGCCGAGAGGTGGCTCGTCCTCTCATCTCGAGTCACCTAAGGTGTGCGCATTTCAAACAAGCAGCCTCGGGGCTTTACGGCAAATGTTGTTGGGTGACCTTTTTGCTCATGCTGTGTGTGTGTGTGTGTGTGTGTGTGTGTGTGTGTGTGATTTCACCACAGACGCCATCATTACACGTAAAGGTCGCTCAAAGTGCAACTCGTGTCAAATATTTTCAAGAGCAGATGCACCAGGCTGCTGTCACGAGCAGAGGTGGCAAAAGTAACCGCATTTTTCTGACTCTAAATCACACTTTGTTTTCATAATTACGTGATCTGTGAATTTGTCTTCGCTTCCATCGTGCAATATAAATCGTTGCTGTTTCCGTGAGAAATTTGCGCGTCCTTGTGGAGACAAAAGTGGCTTTCGAGGATGTATTTCCACCAAATATACTGTTTCTAAAATGTAGGGAGGAAATGTAACGATTCAAGCAAAGCACCTGAAAAATCCACTCAGACACAGCAACAATTTGTACTTTCTTATTTACCACCACTGGTTGGTAGTCAATATGGATCCTTAATGTGTGTGTGTGTGTGTGTGTGTGTGTGTGTGTGTGTGTGTGTGTGTGTGTGTGTGTGTGTGTGTGTGTGTGTGTTAGGAGATTGTCCCGCTTGTTTGGAGTCATTAAAGGTGCGATGTGACATTAAAGGTTGAAAAGTGGCCCCTTGAGTGGCTTCATAATCCAGCTGCTTGGCAGCGCCCGGGACAGCCTGTGCTTACTTTAATGCCAGACAGATGCTAATTGTGCTAATGTATCCCAGGATGACTCTTGACTGCATGAGCTCCATGCAGACCGAGCCGAAACTCAAATCGCATGGAAGGTGGGCGTCGGGTGGCACGCCGAATGATATTGAAGATTCAGTAAGAAATGTGTAAATAAGTACAATGAATAAAAATGACATGTGATGCGATGTAATGATGTTAATATTGTTTTATTTTTGGCAAAAAAAAAAAAAAAAAAAAAAGGTTTTAAAATGCGCGCCACATTCTGGGACAATATAAAAACATTCATTCATATAAAAGTGTGTGAGGTAGGATGCAGTTGTAATATGAAGACTTAATTTCTTGAAAAATAGTTGCATGGATCGCTTTGATTGGCGCTGAATGAGCTTGGCTGTGTTCGCGCCCACAACGGTGCAAACCACCCTTTTTTCACCTGCGCTTTTTTCACCACTCTTACTTGAGTACAACTTTTGACTACTTAACCGACCTCTGGCATGCGTCAATGTCCGAAAGGCTGCACAGAGATAATTCTGCTTCCTGGCTATAGATGAAACTCTTTGTTTTTGGCAAGTGAGCCAAGCGTTTTATGTTCCCGTGCAAAGGAAGGTCAGTGTCGACTGGAGGACTTCTTATGCCTTCATGTACTTCTCCGCTCAAGCGCCTGGACCGGGAAGGGCGATTGAGCGCCTACGCCGCGATGTGCCGATAGATATTGAACGTCAGGCTGGCGCCTCCTTTGACGTTGCTGCTTAATGCGGACAACGCAGCGCATGGCGGAAGCCATCTGGGCATATTAATCATCTCACATTACGCTCAGCTCACAGCCACAGGCCCGTGATTTATCTGTCTGGCCAACCCTGAGGAGCTATCGCTCCGTCTCGTCCTGTTGGCAGTTGACACTTGGGATGTCTTGGCTGTGACAAATGACTTCGGTTGGTTCCGACGGCCATTGGGGAATTGGCTTTGACCGCACACCGCATTGAACGGTCAGAACAACACGCTGACGTCCTCTTTTCCAGGCACTCCCAAATTCCCAAAACTTATATTCATTGACCGGGATGGGACTCAAAAATCGGTGCTTTAAAAAAATAAAATAAAACATTTAATTTGGTTGCCTGACGATTCAGCTCATTGATTCCTCTCTCAATTCAAATGAATGATCAAGCGTTCTTCAATAAATCCCACAAGAGAGACAACACTGCCGCCTTCCAGACAACACTTGTCATCCGTCACTGACAAAAGAGACCCTCTTCGATTTGAGCTTAGCCACTTGTTGCCGCAACGAGTTAGCCGCTACATTTTCAAAATCTCTGCTGAACAGTTTATGACCCCAATTGACTCATTTACTTGACATTCCATGACAATCGGAATCACTTTCCCAAGGCCTTTCCTAAGTAAGAGTAGCCTTGATCTTTATGATACTTAACAACTCACATCTTCTCTTTATCAGTATAGTCCTTGAGAAAGTTTTTTAGCAACCACTCGCTAACTTTGGAGTCCTTTTACTAAATGTTGTCTTCCTGTGAAGGGAAACGCGTCTACTTGAAAGAGTAAAGTGTTTAAAGACTAAAGATTTTTTTGTAGGCGACGATAATGAGATGAAAGTCAAGTCGAAGTAGCGATTGTACCCAACCCTTTTTAGACCAACGTTGATTGGAATACCCAAAGCTTGCGAGGCTAACCGCTATTGTCATCCACAACTAGCTTATTTCCTGACTGTCAGACCTGCGCAGACGTATCAAGATATTGTCGCTTTGTTGGCCGGATATTTCGCTGCTCCTCAGAGCCTTATTATACACTTCAACACCTATCATCTACTCGACATCAAGAATTTCATTGCATGATCCAAACATCTGTGAAAACGTCAAGTGCCATGGAAAAAAAAAAAACCATCTACATATTGTCAATACCGTATTTTTCGGATTATATGTCACTCCCGATTATAAGTCGCACCAGCCAAAAAATGCATAATTAAGAAGGAAAAAACATAGTAGACGATGCGCCGCTTCCTCTTCTACGTCGCTTACGTCAGACTCATCATTGATTTATCAACACAGAGCGCCCTCTTGTGGTTTAATGTGAAAATAAGGTGAAATGACATAATCATGTGTTCATAATTTCACACATAAGTCGCTCCAGAGTATAAATCGCACCCCTGGCCAAACTATGAAAAAAACTGCGACTTATAGTCCGGAAAATACGGTAATAGCTTATCGTGAAAACAAAATCAGGTTGATATATCAAACGCTGTAGATTGGAAGTTGCACGCCGCCGTGTTTGTGAGCGCCGCGCCAAGCTTGGCGTATCTTGCCATCACATCTGGCCGCTTCACTTTATCAGCAGCCAGTTTTTCAACAATATGATGCGCGTGTGTGATGACGTGCCAGTCGGAGCTGGCTACAGAATGCTGGCTCGGCATAACACCGCAGAGAGGACAAGAAAGGACGGAAAGAAAAGGGGGATGAGGGTAAAAATGTTGGAAGGAGAAGCGTGTGAGCCTTGAAACTGCCGCGTGGATTGCGCGTTCAGGTCGCCGCTCGTTGAGATGACTTCCGGTGAACTTTCAAATATGCCCACGTAGGCCCGAAGGTGTCGGCTGCGCTTCTCACCTCGCGTTAGCTCCTTCCGCATGAATGTGAATGAAGAAGCCCGGTAGGACGTGTCACTTCTTTGCACGCATGCAAGAGTTCAGCGCCGACTTGTCATTTTAAGACCTCTTCACCGGTCGATTAAGACGCCGCCGTATGCCACTGGGCGCAATCCAAAGTCATTCAAGATCCTCTTCGGATACTAAGCACACTCAAACATGATTTTCATGCATATAATCTTCGGCAAGCTGCTTTTAAGACATGCTCTCATTAGAATTTGTAGGATTTTTTTTTTTTCTCAAACATACAAGGAAGACGCCGTTGTGCTTGGAGCACCATGTTGCCCATCTTGTCGAGTGGGGCTAATTGGAAAGACACGGGAGCGACAGGGGTGAGTTCAAAGCAGGCGATGGTGTTGGACTTGAGAGGGAATGACACTTGAACCCTACTGGCTGGTTTCCCTTGAGGCCACATTCCAAAAGTATTTCCTGCTCTTGAACATGTTTCTATGAGAATGACGCATCGGCTGAATAGCCGCTCGTACATTGGTCTTATTTGGGACGGCGTCACGGTTGCGTGGGTTGCGGTATTCCAACGTTGCACAGTGGCTTGTGCGGAGATCAAGAGTTAGGAAGGAGACAAAAACGGAGGCGGGAAAAAGAGGAAAGGAGCGGGAGATGAGGACGGAAGGTGGGAAGAAGCGGGAGACGGGCGAGCGAGGGCGGATTAGAGAGCTCTGAGCTTCTCCATCCGTCAACACAAACCGCAAAGCTTTGAGGAGAGAAGAGATGTGTAAGCACCCCGCCCGTGCGCAGAATCGACTCGTCGGTGGAAGCCAAGCCGGCGGTTCGCTTGAGCCTCCCCAAAAGCAAAGCGACATCACACAGAATCAGAGCCACTGGGTTGCGTTTGTGCCTAACAAAAGCTGAAGGCAGCGCGCGCCCTCGTAAGCCGACTGCAACGTTTCTGGAAAAGTCTGATAACCACCGCCGGCTAGGTTTAAACGCGGATGGCAGTTTTCCAGCGTTGTTCCCATGAAGACAGAACGTCTCAATCTCCAGTGAGGTCACGTGTGGGGTAAACAATAACCTTGATATAAGAAAAAGGGAATTTTCTAATTTCATTTCTGAGCGTTTCTCTTGGTTACGTCGCTTCCACTACGGGTGTGAGGATGTTAGACGACGTTTGTCCGATCACATTTGGGCGTGCATGTGTCGCTCTGTCAATTCCCCCAATTTATTTTGTCAATAGTGAATCACAACAAAGGTTAAATAGTTAACGCAAATTGGCTGAATAACAAACTGAAATGGAAAAAATTTTTGTTTGTTTGTTTGTTTGTTTGTTTTTTTTAATTAACTCTTTCATTCCACAAGATGTACTTGTACGTCTTTTTAAAATTAGGCCCCGCCTACCAAGGACGTACTTGTACCTAAGTCTTTTTTTTGCGTCAGAGAAAGGAGGAGGCTCTGATGCAATCTGTGAATGGGAATAAACCGTTTGCATTGTAAATCATGTAAAAAAGTGACCAGTAGGTGGCAGTGGTGCCTCACGCGCTTTTACAAAAAGCTCTTTTTCTCCGTTTTTTGCCCAGGAATCGCCATTTTCATGAAACTTAGCCATTTTGTAATGCCGATTGCTGAAGAATGGAAGAAGATAGAAACAATTTTTTTTCTGCTGAAAGATGAGAGTCCAAACTTTATTTTGGTTGTCTCCATGTTTATATAGCATTAGAACCAAATATTTTGTGGGCCTTGCAAGATCAGTCAAAATCCAGTAAAACGCTGAGATTGAGGGCGTTGCTCCAGTGAAATTGGATTGAATGAGTTAACTGAATGAGGTCAAAACAAAAATGCTTGAAAAAAGAACTAAAAAAAACACGAAAAAAAGAAATACTTCAAACTACTGTTGGTGTTTCAAAGTAGGGTTTCAAACTAGGGTTTGGGTTTCAAATCAAGATCTTAAACTAGGGTTAGATTTTCAATTTAGGGTTTGAAACTAGAGGTTCGGGTTTCAAAGTTTGAATTTTAAATTACAGCTATGGTTTCAAAGTACGGTTTTAAATGAGGGTTAGGGTTTCAAAAAAACATGGGTATCTTTGAATTTATGAATGAAAGAAATGAAAGTATGGTAAATGGAGTGAGATTTTTGTTTTTTTTAATTCAAGTTTGCTCGATACACACACTTCAAATCGCCTCCTCTCGCCCGCTCTCATGGCGAGTTGCCACGGTGACAGCTTTTCTTTGCTGCCCTGACAACGCCACTTCTCTTTGGTCTCCCCTAACGACGACGCAAGAGCAGGCTGCCGGGTGGGCGACTCGATCGCTTTGAGGCGCTTCATTGTATGATCGGCACCCTCGGCGGCACTCATCTTCGCTCGGCTCGGCCACCAAGGTGCGAGCAAGCGTGTGATGATGCCTTTGTCTTATCGCATATTCATTAGATAATAAATGTTTTGTTTTTTTTTTACGCAGCATTTTCACGACTCGTGTTTTATCTAATGAGACTCATCAATCCTTGTCATTAGAGAAATCATCGTCATTATTCCTACGGTTAAAAACAATTGCACACTCCTCTTACCTTGAGTTTTTCAGACACGCCGTCGGTAAAGCTGATGGTGAACTCCTCCACTTTGGGAACCTTCAGCCGTTTTTTCTCCGTCTGGTACTCGGTGCGAGTTTTCACCACAACCTGCGGCGAGAGTCACAGTCACACTTTATTTATAACTGCGTGTGAGGAATCTGTGTGATAGGCAGGTGGGAAAAAAAAAATTGGAAGTCACATTTTGAGAGAGAAAAGGCCAGACAACACGAATGTGCACAAATAAGATTGAATACAGGAGAAAGTTTGTGTTAGGATTTGGAGATGATTGGAATTGACCGCTGGCTTGGGCCGGGGGTTTCATCATTGGCTTGTTTTTTAGCGTAGGGTTGTAGTTTATGCTTCGGGTTTAGGGTGGGTACGGTTTCAGGGTTTGGGAATCGGTTTTGGGGTCTGAGTTAGGGTGGATGAGTTACATGAGTTAGCATTGTGGTTTACGGATGAAAAATTGGGTTCAGGATGGCTTTGGCAAAACGTTTTATTTTTATTCAACACAAAGGTAATAAATCTGCTTCTGTGGAGGACCACGGAATATTTACTGCGGAGAGGTTGAAATTCCAAGGATGTGGACGGGGGGTTTATTGCTATTTCTATCATGCTCGTTGTCTGTCTATTCATTCAAGCTTATTGGCTGTTCCAATTTCCCTACTGGGGATCCATTCAATAACGGGGCTCTAAAACTCGCATTACGTAGGGGAGAAACACATTAGCGTTAGCTCATGTAAATCGTGTGTGTGTGTGTGTGTGTGTGTGTGCGTGTGTGTGTGTGTGTTTGTGTGTGTGTGTGTGTGTGTGTGTGTGTGTGTGTGTGGCATGTTCAGGTGAGGTGTGTAACGCACTGAATGTTGATGAACAGCCCAAACAGGTGAAGCTGAGCCTCATCGAAGCATAGGAACCGGAATGACTCTCATCGAGAATTCAAGGACAGATTCCATGGTGGCGCACACACACACACACACACACACACACACACACACACACACACACACACACACACACACACACACACGTCATTTTGAAAATGGAAAGTGAGGAGCGATGAAAGATGCGTTTATAGAGAATAGAAGGAGAAGGGTGAAACGGAGGTCATTGTGGCGTACTGAATCTGATCAAGCATCAAACTCGACTTACAGAAATGTGGACAAACGTCCTTTCAATATTGAGATTTTGTCTCGAAGGGATATGATGCTGGTCTAAGCATTGAAACTCAAATGAAAATGTCTGGTTCACCGCAAAATGGCTGATTTCTATTGAATTTTGCCCTTGAGACTTCTTCGTGTGTCCTGTTATGAGAGGCATATGAAACCAATTGCATGTTGTTAAATGATTTTTTTTTTTTTTTTACGTTCCTAAAATATTTTAAGATGATCATCAAATTCGGACCTCATGCTCCGCCCACATTTGATGGCATATAGACAAAGGTGGCTCACACTGTTTAAAAAAAAAAAAACATACAAAATTTAAGTTGGAACAACTTTAAATCATAAAAATGTATGACACTTATGGCACCTATGTTAGCTAGCAAAGTAAGTAAACTGTTCCCAAACAATTTGACGAGTTGGGGGACAACACAAGGAACAATTCGTTCTGCAAACTCGTATTTCTTTGTTGTGAAATCTGGGAAAGACAATTAAAAAAATAATTGAAATATTTGGTTAAATTGCCCATCTTTATTGCCTGAAAATTTTGTGTTCATTTCCTTTTTTTTTTTTTAAACAATGCCTTAATCCTTAACAATTGCCTTAACAATTCCCGAATCAAAGTATGAGCCCTGGAATTTGCGCAAAATGGCTGCCACAATGGGTCCTAGAGACAGACTCCAGTCCTGTTATGATTGACTTGTCCTCCAAAGTTCGTGTGGAATGGTCAAAATTCATATCCGAGGATAATTATTTTTTAAAAAGTTTCCTGGGTGAATCTTGGGGGATCATGTTCCGAAACCCTAACATGCTTCAATATTTATCAGGATCAATGCGCTTGTCAAAATTGGTGACTTTTTGCGCATTTTAACATTGGAAAAAAAAAACGATTTCAGTTGGGCCTCCGCAGTAATTCTATGCTTGTCTCACAGTATTCTCCAAAGTGGGAATCATCCTCAAGAAGAGCAGTTACTCACCACTGCAGGCTAATAAGGTCATGTGGCCGGAATTCAAGACCGCTGACCCAAGAGGAAAGCACAGTGTTCTATTCCGGCGGCTCAGTGGGAAGAAAAGGAAGCACACATGATAAAGTAAATTGTTCAAACAGGAAATGGGGGAAAGCGTAATTTAGTGATCTGGACAATAATGGAGCTGTGAGGCAGGGAAGTGGACATAGCTGCCTTTTTGCCCCCCGAATTGAAAGGTAGTACGGTTCTTTTATTGCTGCTCTTCTCTGATATCGATTGGCTTTCAAGAACTCAGCAGTAACAATCAAAACACTCCCATAGCTTTATGTCAATCTTACACAGCAACCTATTGGACCTACAATAATGAATGATCATGTTATTAAATTGAATGTGACCATTATTAATAAAAACCTGTTGAGATTCGCTACGGATGAGCCCGAATCCACCCTTTGTGCTGCTACAAAGCTACATGCTAATGGCTTTGCTACACACCAGTTAATTCGACGGGCAAAAATTGACTTCGGATCCTAAATGTTTGCTTTTCAAAAGTTAAAAGGCCCATGTGTTAGCATAGGTTAGCGGGTTAGCTGAAGTCAGGGGTTATTACGTGACGAGTTGTCTAGTTGAACGCAGATTCAAAGTATTTTTTGGTTGTACAAGAGTAAACACCACAGTCATAAAATGTAAATGTATTTAAGCAGACGAGCATAAGAAAAATCCATTTTACCAAACTCGAGATTTTCCCTTTATTGTGTATACCGTCGCAAGAAACGGGCATTGAAAAATTAGCTGCTCCTGCGGAGCAATAAGCAATTTGTATTTCCCTCTATTATAAAAGTGTTGTTCCCATGATTGTTCCTTTACGTCAGGCTCCATTTTGGGAGCGGGTGTGCACTTTGTTCTCCGAGAGCGGGCTGCTGGCTAAAGGCGCAGCAACATTGATTAATGAGCACTTCATTAGAGGAGACGGAGGTTGGGGGTGGGGGGTGGGGGACGTGGTAGAATAATGAGGCAACAAAAAGTGTCGTGAACCTTTAGGCCCTTGAGCGAGCGGTGGGAAATGAGAGCACCAAAGCAAAATGGTGACATTATTTAAGGTTGAGACTAGCATCCCGCTTCGATGGGGGGCCTTGGGGGCCCAATCAGATGCGTTGTAGACACATTCCGTGGCCCTCTACAAAAGCGCTTCCCGGAGACAGTTACTGACCTCGTTTTTCAGAGTCCATTTTGAGGAAAATCCCAAAGTGGTGGTGTAATTGGTCAAGAAGAAAAATAGTTTCACACAAACTTGAGTGCATCAATCACATTTTTGTGAATATTTAATTATGTATTTTCATGGGACGGCACAAAAAAAAAAACCAAAATGACACTTTGCTGCAATGTAGTCAGTTTACAGCTTGTATCCAAAGAGTTCCTAGCGTGTAGCTGCTAGTTTGCTAACTCGGATTAGCTGTTAGCAAAAAGCTGCTAGGATCTAGCTGCGAGGTTCCTAAATGGAGGGTTTAGGAAAAATTAATCTGTTAGATTTAAGAATAGAAACAATGAGAATTACAAGTTCATAATCTTGACGGTGGAATTAGTGTTGGTATGTCGTGTAGCAGTTAGCACGTACCTGCTAGCACCATAAAGGTGGACTGTGACCTTTCCGTGAGTCATTAAATGCTTCCACATCAGCGGGGCTTTCATACAGAAGCCCTGCGGAGTGTGTTGCAAGAATTTATACAGCCAGAAAGCCAATTAATGGCTTCTATGACAGTAACGTGTTGACATTTCACATAACTAACTGACACCAGTTGCTTTTAGACGGCATCGTTTGAAATATGTGGGCCGATCCTTTTTAAAAACAATACACTACAAAGGGCCTTTGTAGTGTATTAGTTAGAATGTCTGTGAGTTTCTCTCCAGCTTCAGTATCAGTATTCGAGATGTGATGATCCATGTGGAAATGCTGTCAAAAAATTTTTTTTCTGTTTGTTTTTTTTTTTTTTGGTCCCCCTACCACTAGAGATGGAGTTTCATGTTCTCTCCTCAAAGAGTGACTGGTGATGATGGGGGAAGCCTGAAAGTTTGAAAGGAATCTTGGATACGTTTTTTTTTTATGTTGTAGGGGGAGAAGGAAAAAAAGATTCATCGTGTTGTCAGATGCTTTGCTGCAACATTGGCTGAAACAGGGAACTAATCAAAGGTATGTCAATGTTTACCAGAAAACAACATTGAACATAATCTCTGAAATAGGGAACGAGCCCTTAAAGCAAACGCGCTTTAACTGAACCTCAATTGTTTTAATGTTGCTGACATTTTCAGTGCACTTGCAATTTATTTACTTCTTGCCTTGAAATATTTCGCTGGAAACAGCTCTGAGGCGAAAGCGGTGACTGTTGGGGAAATGAAAAGGCTTGTCACGGGCGCTGGAATCAAACAATAAGCTGAAAGATGGCAAAAAGTTGAGTAGATAAGCAGATCTGTGCGAGCGGAGCAACTTTAGAAGAGAATCTCATTGCGTTCTGAGGCCGCCGTCTCTTGGGGCGAGCGTGGCCAGGTCACTTAACTGAAAGCACGTATTTGAATTCAATAGACGTCGGTGGTGTAAACCCATTTCTACACACGTAGAATGTGCAGCCTGAGCTCAGATATTGCCTGAAACTACAGATTGTAGGGCAGAATGATTTTGAAAAAAAATCTAATTGCGCTTTTTTTTTTGTTGCACTGGCTTGCACGGCTCTGTGACAATACCAAAACTTAGTCTCGCCCCCGTAAATTTCCACCACACCTTGTGCCAGACAGGCACTGGGCATGAAAATTGAGCCCATGAAGTTATAGATTAATTCTTTTCTCATTGAATACATCCAACGCGACTCAACACTTTGTGGGATCAGATATTGAAGGTGTTTCGTAAGTGTTTGAAGCAGCTTTTTGTTGTCAAATGCTGCAGGAATCGGCCTGCGCTCTCTCCATCCGCCTTCTCCTCCTCCTCCTACTTGTTTTTATAAACTGACCTGCCGATTCAATCCCGATTCCAGCATCCCTGCTTGGACTGAATCCCATCTAATACTCGTCTGCCCCAGCTCATGTAGGCCAAAGCCATATTACACAAACGTGTGTGTGTGTGCGTGTACGTGTGAGTGCGCGCATATGGGTGTGTAAGCACAAACCCCGCAGTCGAGTGTATCCACGGAGTCTCCATGCGGGCTGGAAAGAGCTTTTCACTAGTCTACTGCAGATAAAAGGTATCGGTCAGCTCACATGAGCCACTAAAGCTGCCGTTAGCTTGAAAGGCACACAACAGGTCCCAAGATCAGATCAAAGCACTGCAGGCAATAAGCTGTATGGACACGATTGGGCTATTCCACTTTCTGACGAACTGGATAGCTTGTTGTGGCTTCTGGTCCAGGAAATATCGAAGTAAAATGCTCACCTCCCCACGCCCTCTTTGAAACACAATAACACAATGTTCTTCTTGGCCTCACTGAGTCACATTGGCCCTTGACAAGACAATACAATACATCCTGATTTATATAGCGCTTTCACAACAGCTGCAGCTGTAATAAAGCGTTTTACAAAACAGTTAACATGAAATAAAATAATCACATAAAAAAAATGAACTAATAATAAACCACACATAACATAAAAAACACGGACAGTCGTGCAATCTGAACCACTTTTCTCTCATACGCTTTGTTGTTTGAGGTAGTTCGAGATGAAAGAGGAGAGAATGGACAAGACAAAACATTGCATTTGAACGATAGCGGCCACCACTCAAAGAGATGCTAAAATGAATTGCCTCACCTTGATTAAAAGCACCCCCCACCAACTCCCCCCTTGCCCTTGCTATGGGAACACAATGTCATGCTGATTAGACTCATTGAGTCAAAGTGGCAAGAGATAACCCTGGGAGGTCTTCAACTGTGGCCCCTGATCTAAAATTTGCCGAAATAAAATGCCTTATGTGAACTGACCAGCTCATCTTCTCCTTCTCTGGAAAGACAATGTTCTTCTGATTGGCCTCACTGAGGTCCGAGTGGCACTTGACGGCACGAAATACCGTATGGCCTCAATTCATGAACTCTGCTTCCGTTGTGACCGTGACAGAGTTCGGCTCCTTTGGCCCTTGATGTTGTTTTTTTTTCGTCACACAAGGCTGGGCTTGTTTTTCTTTAGATAAGTTTGAGTTACTCGGTGGCAGCTGCAATAGATGCCTAAATACCTCACTCCAATTAAAAGCCTCCTACTTGCCCTGATGGAAAAATACTGTTATTAGATGAGCTCCATTGATTTGTCAAGATAAAAACACTGTATGCCCTCAAATGGTGGCCTCGGATACCACGCCTCACCTCAATTAAACACCTCATTTTTTTCCCTACTGGAAAAGCAGTGTTCTGACTAGCATTGTTGTGCCAAAGTGAGACATGGAGGTCCTCATGTTTTGACCTCACCTATATTAGGTACCTCAAGTAAACAAACGCCTGCTTTTGTTTTGCAGAACTAAAGCGCTCCACTCAAATGAACGTCTTATTTCCAATTACATACGGAACTGCGCATGAACCCATGTGCCTTCCTCCTGAGACCTTCTCAACAAACACAAAGATGCGGAGTCGACTTTGCCGCGTGCGATTAACGACGCTGCCTCATACGGGCCAATTTAAGCGGCTTATGCAGGCCCAACCAAAAAAAAAAACAAAAAAAAAAAACATGTTTTCAGTCGGGGGAGAGAACAGATGACAAAATCTGCAGTGGCTGCCAGCCAGCGGAGACGCGGAAGAAAGACGCTGCTCTTATCTCTTACCACCTTCCTCAAACAAGACCAACAATAATTCAACGGTACATCCCTGGGGTTCAGCCTTACTTGGCCTGGCAATGATATACACACAATAGATTGTGTGTGTGTGTGCCTGTGTGTGCAATGCAGCAAACCCAGTGCAAGCTTGTCGGTGGATAGTGACTGGCAGCTCTTTAAATGTCATGTCACATAGAACAAACAAGTGGCTGCTGACAGATATTGCTTGTCAGACACACACACACACACACACACACACACACACACACACACACACATACACAGAAAGATTTCAAACCGCTGTCCTGAAGGAATAGAAACCCTCTCTGCAGTGGTCTAATACACTCGCATCGCTAATATTATTATTATTCATTATTTTTATTATGATTGCTTGCTGGGTGCACCGAAGAAACACCTCCCTCAAAAGACGCTTTAATTAACACATCAGGAAGACACACATACACGGTGATGGTTTCAAACTACTTTACTGTACTTCTCAACGTCTGTGACTCCAATCGCCCTTATTTGAATCAAAAATTAATTAGCTGCCATCCACTCGAGACAAACACGCGCCTCCTTCAAATGGATGCCTTTATTTTCTCATCAAGAAAAAAAAAATCAGTTAATACGTGTGATTATTTCACTTATTTTTCTGGAACTCGGATGCTAACCAAAACAGCAGCACCGACTAAACACATAAGCAATTTCTCAGATGGATTGGGGTACATTGTGGAGATTTATTAGCATATTAGAGGCACCGTTCGACACCGGTTTTAATGACGACTAGTGGACTCTGACGTGCGGTCACTCTAGTATGTTGCGAACGGGCACTGTGAATCATCACCATGGTAACGAGATTAATAAGCAGTGGGGTGTGGACTACTTTGGGATGCGGAGATGACAAATGACCTCGTCTGCTTCCTAATGATAGATGGGGAAAAAAAAACAAAGCACAAATGATAGATACACATTCTGTTGGGGTAAAGCGAACGCCACGGAGGGGGGGAGGGGCACTCACCTTGTCAGGGGCTTGGCTCTGCAAGCTACCCACATCCAGAGGAGTGATGAGGGGCACGTTTTGGAAGCCGTCCTCCACACTGGCCGCTTTGACCCCTTTGTCCTGAAGATGACTCCCGAGTTTCACCATCTTGCAGATCCTCTTGTTCCCCTGAAGGTAGAAGTAAAGCATATTGGAGCTATGTTGGGGACATTTGTATTTCTTATTTTTTTAAGGTTGATTAGAGCAATTTTTTTTTCTGAAGTTATTAAAGTTAAGTATTTGATTAAAAAAAAATCTTGAGGCAAACTAGTAACATGGTTGCTGTTGTTGTTTGTTCACTAAAGGCTTGTGATACAATGACTTGTGAAATTTAATAAAGCAATAAAAACAGACAAGATGCAATCAACATTTGTTAGGCTATGATAAACAACAGAAATAAAATGTATTAATTTTATAATGAAACAAGTGCTCATAAACTTTGTATGCTAAATAAAAAAAAACGTATTGCAAAGATGAATGTATAAAACTGGGAAACAAAAATCATCTATCAGATGTTATAATAATATACAACTGTTAAATATACTTTTAAAAAACAACAAATGAAAATTAATCATAAATGTCCAGCAAATCTGATAAATACATAAAACAATATTTTATTAAAATAAAATTATTTGTTTTTGATGTATATTTTTCTGTATATTTTTTAAATATAATTTGCAACCCCCCCAGTAATTCCTATGTTACGATATTTATATATATATATATATATATATATATATATATATATATATATATATAAAACACGTATTACATGAAGATACAAATGGAAAAAAAAATGAAGACACTTTTTTTTTTTCTTTGAAGAGCAAATGTTTGTAAGCTTTGCAAACGTGTTCGAAACAAACATACTAACACATTGCGTGTCTCTGTGCAAGGCGTAGGAACAGCAAACCTGCAGACGAGATGTCCAGACCATTGATGCAGACAGATAAGAGGTACTTACACCGTGCTGCGGCGTCCGGATGAGGATGACGGAAGGTGCTGCTGCTGCTGCTGCTGCTGCTGCTGCTGCTGCTGCTGCTGCTGCTGCTGCTGCTGCTGCTGCTGCTGCTGCTGCTGCGGGAGAGATGCAACGATGCTGCACCGCCACGCACCAACTGGATTTCTGGAGGCGCGCTTCTTCCAACCAGCAGACAGCCCAACCCCCTAATCCCGAATCCTCATCTGCTCTGCTGTGCAGCAACACTCAGACGGTGATTCTTTTTTTTATTTTTTGGCCCCCCGTTGGGAGCTGAATTGATGATGCATTCATAGACTTCCAGTAAATTCTAACTTCGATGAGTATCTGGTCGTGGTTTTAAAGGCCGGTTAGTACGGTGTTGGGGGGCGAGGGAGGGGGTATCCCAGCGTTCAGCACCACAAGCTAAGAGTTAATACGATAATACGATGTTGTCGTTCGCACATGGGGTGTAATTTGAAGTCAACGAGTATTACAATTTTACAGGGGTTCCTGAAGGCGCCACAAGCAAAGTGTAAATACTGTATGATACATTTTCTACAATTCTTACATGGTGATACACATTTGCAGGCAAACGACGTTCCAGAGGTTCCTGAAGGTCACGAGTGAAGCGTGAAATTGATACACTTTCTGCTTAGCAACTTTGTACATCGGCGATAATCGAAAAGTCATGTGACGTTCCAATTTTCTTTGAGTCCCTGAAGGCATCTTATGCAAAGCATTGATACGTTTTCTCCTGGATAACCTGAAGACAATAATTAATCAATCTTTCCAATACTATAGTTTCTGAATGTTGCGTCAACAAATGGTCAGTCGTGCAATAGTGTATTTTGTCATTTTTACGATGGTAATATTCTAAAATTAATAAATATTAAAACTTTCTGGGGGCTCCAGGACAAAAGCGTTACTATGTTTTATAGTTTGCGCATGAAAAAAAATGTTCACTATTCCAACTTTCCAGAAATTTAAGTGTGAAAGGGGTGAGAAACGTTTACTTTTGTGGCGGTGGGAGGCCACCAAAACCACCAACTAGAACGAAAGTGACTCGGTATAGCCTTTGAAGCCAAATTGCAGTTCATCTTTGGTTCTCTTCTACCACCTGGTGTTCAAAATGTTACAATGCAACCTTCAGACACTCGTCTGCTGTAAATTGTTTCTAAATAGAATGCCACGGTTTTAAAACGGTATTTGCGGTCAATTATTACTTTCAAAAATATTTTTTAAAAATCTTGTGATATGAGGTGATAAGACGCTCATTTGTTGTCCTTGTTGGCAGCTGCCCAGGGGGCAGTGATGGTTCGAAGCAGTGACCCCAAAAATTACAGGGGAGATATTACAGAAAATGTATACTTTTAATCACTAATGACATGTTTTTATCCGTGATTAAAAATGTGCCGTTGGGCGATCCCTTCTGCATATTGTGTCGCTGTCATAATAGTGGGGCTCATGAACAAAATGCCCTTCCCACACAGACGTATTCATCACAGTTAAGATTTATTTCATTCAACATTTCACATTACAAATATTGAAAAATTATGCATACTGTTATATAAATAGTTGGCCGCAAACAATTAAATAACAGATTTTTCTTTTTCGTTTCACTAGCACTTCTACAGACCAACTCCTAGAAATATGGACATATCCGTATTACATAACTTAATCATTAGAAAGGAAAATACAAAAATAGGAACTTATAAAGTGAAATGACAATAAAAATTAAGGTGATATCTGAAGTAAAAAAAAATGCTATCAATAAATACAACAAACCTTCCCATACACAGTTAAAAACTATTGAAATCTTGCCATTAAGTAACATTAACAGACAAATATTTAAATATTTATTTTCCTTCAGAAAATGTGAACCATATATTGTGGAGCACAATATAGCAATTAGTAAAAACTAGACACTTTAACATATTAAAAGCTTCACCTCAAAAATATAACAAAAATCTGATCAAAATTATAAAAATCAATTATACATTCCAATTAAAAATATACCAATAAACAGCTAAATACATTGTTGACCTAGTAATTACAATGCAATCAATCACAGTAGCTTAAAATAAACCAAAAAAATAAGCAAATGAGCACAAAAACCTTTTTTTTTTAATGTTTTAAAAATAACTTCAATTATTTATATTAGTACAAATAGTTGGATTTCATTTCTCTCTTTTTTTCTTACAAACACCAGCATGAAAAGGATTACATTAAACAGTAGAAAATGACTGTGAAAAAACATATTAACATCTTTAATTAAATGTCTGCAATAATTAAAAATGGCATTTGAAAGAATTACATTGCAAAGAGTCTTTCGTCTGGAAAAAGGTTCAAAAGAAGTATTGCACATAACAACTTGAAAGTTAACTTGCAACATTGTTGTTTTTTTTAAATTCTTTTCTTTTTCACCACATTCAAGTCTTTAAGCTCCCCTTCCTCCGCGTAGGTCAAGTCTTCACGTTTTTTTTTTTTTAAATCCGCATTTTTTTCGACAGTGTTCTAGGTTGCTCGAGTCTGAAACGTCCACGCTCGCTTATTCGCTTTTGAGTTACGCGCATCCCCGCTGAGGTCTGCCAATATGTGAGAGAGGGAGGACAGAAAGGATGGTCAGGGGAGGGGTTGAGGTCGGGGTTCGCCATTACGTCATTGTCCAGAAACATTTGGTGCACACCACAACAGTTAATTTCCGAGCTAATTCACCTCATTTCCGCACTTTTTTTTTTGTCATCATGCATGCTAAGGATTACGATAGGTGCTAGTTGGCAAGTTCAAGAATATAGATACTATGTATATATATCTATTTATAGTTGTTTTTTTTTCTTCAAATATTAAAATATCTAAACACCAAACATCCATTCTTGTGATACGAGATTGAGCATTGAGTGTCCAACCTCATCTTTTTGCATTCCTCCCCGTTGACCAGATTTCCTCAAATAGTGGCCAAGAGATCTTATATTTACTCAACTCATTTTAAGAAGTGTTCATTGGGTGGGAGATTAGATTTGGGAGGCACAAAATAATGAGAAGAGTTTTTTTTTGGGGGGGGGGGGGCGTCAAATGAGGAGAGGCCTTTTGACTGCAGTTTGTAGATTAAGACAGGCATTTCTTGGAGGAGAGGTTTGATTACTCAACTGAAAATTGGGGTGGCATCTATTTCCGGGAGGCTTTTCTTTAATCACGAGCATCCCCCCAGTTTTTTAAAACACTTTTTTTTTACCTACATCGGAGACTGTTTACATGTCTTAGTAGGTGCTGCAGTTTTAGTTATCAACAGAGTTCAAATGGGCTCAGCAGAGGAAGAGGAGCAGCCACTATTTGAGGAAATAAGGTGAGTATGGAGGTGAAAGGTAATTTTTTACGAGTTTTAAGACCACAACTTTTTTTTTTTTTTGTCTTTTTAAATGATTTCTCGCCATGCTATTAGAATCACTGAGTGGAAACATCAAGTGTAGGAAAAGCTAAGAAGACCAAGAGAGCGGATACACTTTGGTCTCTCCTCGGCAAATGCGACGTCGCACGTATAGTTGGAAAGAGTCGTCAGCACTGAAATGTATAAAAAGCATAATTGAAAATAATATATATCTTGAAATCACTCCGCTCGTTTTTTTTTTTCCTCCTCTTCTTTAAAATGAACATTTCCATATATGCAGATCTCTCAGTAACAAAAGTACAAAAGCTACCTTTCACAATGTGAAAAAATTGAGGTATTGCAAAAAGGAGTTCCCCATAGTTGTGAAAAATGTGCCTAAAATGACTGCCGGAAATAAAAAGAAGGAAAAAAAAAAGATATTTAGAAAAGTAGTGCATAATAAATGCTTATATGTGCATGACAAAATAATTTAGGCTAGAAAACACTGTTCCAAAAAATCAGCAGGCCATGTATAAAATAATTTTCTCATCATCTCATTTTGAACAGCAAATTCTTCACAAAGTGTTTGAAAATATCCCGGGTGCAAAAAGCCATATGAGGATCCTCACTCACAAGCAAAATCAAGTTTTCTCTGCACTCCTCCGCTTCTAAAATGGGAGGATTTTGTCAAAAACTCTCACTTCCACTGCGTGAATGTGCACTTTTATGTTGTTTTTTTTTTTGAGGGGGGGGGGGCGCTCAAAGGAAGTCTATATATTGTCGCCGTTTACTACCAATGGGAGTTTTACTGCACTGCTAACATTTTGTTTTGTTTTCATTAAGGCCAATCTTTGGTTCTCTGCAATCCTTCGGGGCGGGGGCTTCTACGCAGGAAATGAGTTACAGTGCGACGCGCTAATGCACGGCCATCTTTGGTTCCCCAACCTGCTGGATTTAGGAAGGGGTGCGGGGGGCTCCTCAAGTGTGAGTATTGTAGTAGACTGTCTTCAATTATGCTTCTAAAACACATAGATGCTGAGTCAGGTTAGCTTTGCTCGATAGGGGGAGGGAATATGGAGGCCATATTTGAACTGCTCCGATGTAAAATAGAGCTTTGTGATTTTTTGTTTTTGTTTATTTGTTCTTAATTTGGTGGCAGCCCCGTACAAACAGGGAAAAAAGTCTGATTGTTTTTTTTTTTCCCCAGATTTGACCGGTATTGTCAGGTTGTGGGTCTAAAACTGATGAGAAGGAGAGGGGCCCCGGAGCCACACATTGCCATACATTCCCATAATGCACTCTGCGCACGACTGCGTAGGTTTCCGTTACAAAAATAAAAAGGTGACGACGAAGCTAGCGAGTACAAAAAGTGTGCGAGTAACATCGTAGCTCCGCCCGGAAAAACAGAACAACACGGGCAGGCGTTCGTGACTTGCTGTTCTTCTTTTTTTTTAAACTGCATCCGGCACATTAGCAGCTGAGTTTGAGGTATTAGTTTTTGCATGTCAAGATGGAGATCGAAATTATGTGTCGAGATCTTTTTTCTGAGAGAAAGAGAGAGAGAGAGAGAGAGAGACTGTGTTTGGCTTTCAGGGCTTCTCTATCCTGTGCCGCTAGCTATTATAACAGCTTTGGTTATCAACTAAGGGTATACTGGTATATTCTAGAACATGAAATAAGTGCACTCTTCTTCAGCAACACCTTTTTTTTTTTTCTTCAATTCAACATTTGCTCATAAGCCTCGCATTGGCATCTTGGAAAAATCTAAAACGAGCTCTGCTACAAAATAATCTAAAATGTCAAATCAAAGAGGATTTGTTGGGGGGGGGGCCTCTTATAATAATAAAAAAATAATAATACATGAAGGAAAGCATGCCGATTGAAGAGCAGAGTACCAGAGCACACTTCAACTTTCCTATATATTCTTTTTTTCTTTTTTCTTTTTTTTTGGAACAATCATTTCATTTCAAAAAAATAAAACAAACAACGTTACACTTCTTTTTTCCTTGCTGGACATAGTTGATATAAATCCTGTTTTCTCTCGTGAAAATATAAATATTAACTAAAAAAAAAAAAAAAAAAACAACAAAAAAAACATTGTTGAGAGTGTGTGTGTGTGTGTGTGTGTGTGTGTGTGTGTGTGTGTGTGTGTGTGTGTGTGTGTGTGTGTGTGTGTGTCTGTCTGTCTGTGTCTGTGTGCCACTTTAGGCGAGACCTTAGGTGACTCCCGGTGAGCGTTGTGTGCTCATCACCATGGCGATGGTCTGAAGGTCACAATGATCGAATAAAATGCAACTTTGTGCCTCATAAAGCCGCACTGCTGATCATGTGACCTTTTGTCTCCACTTCTATGTTTTATCGGTTGTGGTTCACAACAGGGGCGATTGTCGGATCAGTGATTTAGGGGTGCTGAGAAAGACACAGTAAATGTCACCATTTTGTACATTCCAGCGCAACAGCTAGCCTCTCTCATTTTGATTCAAAGATGGGAGAGAGGTTCGAGGAGAAGGATTGGGTGGAACAAATCTTTTTTTTTAGGCAAGATGGTGTTGTATTTTTATTCGTAAATATTGCATTTTCAGATAAGTACTGTTTCAGTACGGTTACACACTACTTAAGGGTGCGAAGATTTAAGTTAGCACCAAACATTGGTCCTATTTTTCTCAGGGCATTTTTACTTTAATATAAATATTAACTAAAAAAAAAAAAAAAAAAAAACAACCAAAAAAAACTTGTTGAGCAAAAAGGAACCAGCAACAGAAAAGTGCATTTATTCATTAAATGATTTTGCGACTCCTGCACTACCTTTGCCATCCTGCTCCCTGCCGCCGCTCAGTTCCAGCGGAACGAGATGTGACGCGGCCGGTCACCGCCCTCCTTCACCAGCGGCTTGTGGAACTCACGGCCGGCGCGCGAGTGGATGGCCGCCCAGCAGTACTCGCAGTAGTACTGCAGGCAAGTGACGTTGGCGCAGAAGAACGGCGCAAACTTGCCGCCGCAGCGAGTCCCCTGGCACTCGTCGCACAGCTGGTCGTCCAGCACGTATGGCTTCACTTCCACCTGCGTCGGAGGAGGGAAAGGCATTAAAAATGTGCTGCGGCTCCTAAGGGGTAAAATATTAAATGAGAACAAAATGAAGATTTATTGACAAAAACTAATGTATCTTTGTTCAACTATCTTCTGCAGGGTGTGAATGGCTTGGCGACAGGCCAAACAAAAACATGATCTTCCACTAGTTAAGTGGTTTTCAAATTGTAGTACAAGTACCACTACTGGTATGGGTGCTCCCCCTTGTGGTATGATGAAGAATCAAGGTCTAAGTGAAGTTCAGTTCTATCTGCTTTTGAACTTCAATACATTTGCATGTAATCTTAAACAACTGTTTGTTTGTTTTTTCAAAGACTTTTAAGTAGATTCCTTCTCCCCCTCTAAACGTAATATTAATGTTCAAACTGCATAATGTTGCAGTGGCTTACAATATTAAATTAATTTTTGTCTCATTTCTTGATGAACATATTGTATTTTAATACTGGCCATGATGGTGGTACTTAGGAGTGCTAAGACTTTGTAACGATGATGTAAAAATGTGAAGATCATGGCACTGAATGGCAGACGGTTAACCCGTGTAACTACCTGTTAACATTCAGACTAAGTCATGGCTTTGCGTTCAATTAAAAAGGCCTAGAGTTCTCACTGGCTAAGTCAATTTGTGTCACCTATTTCTTCACTCGTTGCTAAATAACGCTTACAAGTAAGACTCGAGTTGGTACACAACAAATTATGAAAAAATGTGAGACGAGGTCACATTTCTTTCCACAAACCCGTTTATCGATTTCTCCATGCTGCAGCTGCACAAAGCGAGCACTGATAGCAGCAATGTAACTCTGCTGATTAGAGAAGGCGACCCGCCCAGCTCCTTTCGGGTACTTCAGCTCGGGATCCGTGTCGATGCCGGCGTAGCAGACACCGCCGTACAGGCGGTCCATGATCATGGCCAGTTCCACTGCGAACAAAAGACGCAATGCAAACAAATCAACATTGTCTCTCGATAAGATGTTCTTTTCAGTTTGTTTGACAAGTTTCACTTTTTGAATTGTAATACCGTAAAAAAAAAAAAATTAACGTTTTGACAATCTTCAAAATGATTGCATGTGTATGTTACATGTGAACCTGAAGATATTACACAATTATATCAGATAAAATGATGGCGATGATATGCATTTAACAACTGTGAAGTAATATTGGAAAATCCAAAATGCAATATTGAATGTCACAAGTAATTAAAAAAAAAACGACATGAAATAAAAAAAATTGTATTTCGTAAATTCGACAAAGCAAGAGATTTTTCCGAAGTGATATCTTTCTGAGCAACAAACCCGGAAGTGTGCCATCACTTTACAAAGAATGCTCATCGACATCGGCGTATAATTCATTAGCTTTGCAAGAACGCAGTTGTATCGTTGCAACGCCTGACTATACAGGGTCGTTTTTTGGGTTAAAAACGCCTTGCTATACATGGTCGTTTTTTTTGGCTAAAAACGGCTTACAATACATGGTCGTTTTTTCGATTAAAAAATTCTGCTAAAAACGCCTTACGATACAGTGTCGTTTTTTTCGATAAAAAAAAACGCCTTACTATACATAGTCGTTTTTTTCGGCTAAAAACGCCTTACTATACATGGTCATTTTTTTCGGCTAAAAAAGCCTTTATACATGGTCGTTTTTTTGGCTAAAAAATTCTGCTAAAAACGCCTTACTATACATGGTCGTTTTTTTC